ACACACACACACACACACACACACACAGCCTCTTCCCAATATGGGTTTTAGCAATTTGCATATTTGCAAAAACGCATAAAAATTCGTCAGCGAGCAATCCTAGTTCATTACAAGTCGGAGCGAAAAATTCTCACAGTTGTAGTTTTTATTATGCGTTTTTGCATATATGCAAATTGCAAAAACACATATTGGGAAAAGGCTGTGTGTATGTGTGTCTGTGTGTTTCTGTGTGTCCGTGTGTTCGCACTTTTTGTCACCCACGTTCAATTCGGGAGCCAGGAAAGCTAGAAAGCTGAAATCTTGGGGGAATGTCTCCTGTCCAAGTACAATTTAAATATTTCAGACCCAGCTCTCAGGTATGTGTAGTTCTTAAGTACGAGCGCGTGAGAGATTTGGCGGGAGAATTGTTAACTCAGCAACCAGAAAAGCTGAATGGCTGAAGTTTTAGGGTAATGTTCCTTGTCCACATGTAGTTCAAACATTTCAAATTCAGTTTCGCAGGCCGTGTAGTACCCACATACGGACATGTGAAAGTTTTGACGGGGAACTCGGTAACCAGAAAAGCTGGAAAGCTGAATCTTTAAGAGTAAGTGTTCCCACCATGCGCAATCCTTCCGTTTTAGTATTATCATCCGCCTACGCCTGGGTGCCGCTAAAAAAAAAATATGGGCCTCTTAAAAAAAAGTCTGCAAACTTTTTGACGGAAAAGCGATCTCGAGAACCAAACAAGTCAGGGGGCTGAAACTTCGCAGAGATATTTTCTATGCATGTGTGACCTAGAGATTTCAAATTCAGCCTCCAGGTATGCGTGGTATTCATTAAGGGCGTAGAAAAGCTTTGGTGGGAAAATCACTGACTCGAGAGCCAGGAAAGCTAGAAAGCTGAAATTTTGGGGGTACAACTTAAATATTTAAAATTCAGCATTCAGGTAGGCGTGGTTCTTACATACGAGCACGTGAAAGATTTGACAGGAAAACTGCTAACTCGGTAATCAGAAAAGCTGAAAGGCTGAAATTTCAGAGGGATGTTCTCTCTCACGTGCAATTTAGGGATTTCAAATCTAGCTTTCCAAGAATCTGGGGTACCCACGTATGGGCATGTGGAAGTTTTGGTGGGAAAATCACTAATTCGGGAACCAGAAAGACTAGAAGGCTGAAATTTTAGAGGAATGTTCTCTGTCCAGATACAACTTAGATATTCCAAATTCAGGTTTCAGGTGTGTGTAGCTGTCAAGTATGGGCACTTAAAAGTTTTGGCGGGAGAACTGCTCACTGAACAGCTAACTTACTTTTGAACAATGACCGTTAAATGGAAATTGTTCATTTACTTTATGCAAAATTTATGGTGATTTACGCTAGTGAGTGCAAAAGGTGGGTGTAAACCAATAACCATTCATGCAGTTAATGACCTGAGTACTTCAAGTGTGGTGTAATAACGCATGATCAAACCGTTTCAATCTGAGTTTAATCACTGACCAGTCTTACGACCCATTTTCGCGCCCCATAGCTGTTATTTTCATTCAACGATTACAGTGATGGACGTGATATGGTCTTTTTTTTTAATTCTAATATTGGCCCTCGTCTATTCTTGAAATTTCACATGTTAGGCCGGTAAACTTTCGAAAAAATTTTATAATGTTTCAGCAAAAGGGCAAAGTGGGCAGCAAAACTGTCTCACAAGAGGACTTTAGTGGAGGTAAAGGCGAGTGTTTCCCGATGACCAAACCGAAGGATTCCAACATTTTGCATGGTGATGGTTCCTTCATTTCGGAAACTCAAAGCGGCACTGAATACACTGTGAAGATAGGTGAACGCTACGAGGTTAAGCGCCCTGGTGAATCGGAAATATGGAAGGTAAAATGAATTTTCTCCTTTTCCGGACAGGGCATATCCGGAATTTGTAAAACAATCAGTTTTGCCTCAACTCTTGAACAGCTTGTCCTACGTAAAGTGCTAGATTTGCCCTGCCCTTAGAGTGGAAAAAGAGGAAACTGTGCTTGAGCCAGATCCAAAATTGCGAAGGTGCATGTTGCGTTCTTCGGCTTTATGATGAGAAACAATTCTACATGTGTGGTAGACCCACCTATGGCTTCTTAAAAAGCATCGTCATAGCTTTGTCTTTAGGTGTTGCTGTTGGAAGTATGGTAATTTAAGATTGAAGTAAAAGCGCGGAGGCCGGAAATATTATATCAATATAACCATGAAATCCACTTTTTGACTCATTTAATATTTTTTTTATAACATTTTCTTTTGTGTTTCACCTATAATAGAAAAATTTAAGAAAGCAGGCAAGATGGATGAAAAATCCGTTTCACATCACGAATTCGAGGACAAAAAGGGAGAGCGTTACGGGATACTGAAGCCAAAAGATTCAAATGTACTCGGAGGCGATGGAACTTTTGCTTCTGAAACTGACAAAAGTAGTGAATTTACAACTAAAAAGGGAGAGCGATTCGAAACAGTTGTGCCAAAGCCTTCAGATTTGTGGAAGGTAGTTTTTCCAACTAACAATCTTAAAGTACACCAGTTTCGAGCCCTCGATGTTGCTGAGGTGCGCCTTACGCTGCGCACAAGCCATTCTTGCCCCTGGTCATCTGTCCGTAATTAGTGTCCGCTGTTTTCCTCATATACCCGCATCATCTCATTGACCCTTCTTATTTTGCGCAGGCGCCACTCATTAATATATGATCATTTTTAGTCAAGTTTTTTAATCAGCTGCTCTTTTTCCAAAATACCACTACTTTCCTAATTTTGTAGAAGGAAGGACGGATTGAAGACAAGACTGTTTCTCATCAAGATTTTACGAGTAAGAAAGGCGAACGATATCCCGTATCAAAGCCACAGGATTCTGACATGCTTCGCGGTGACGGATCGTTCATTTCCGAGACACATACTAGCGCAGAGTATACTGCTAAGAGAGGTGAACGATATGCAGTGGTACGCCCCGGCGAATCGGAACTGTGGAAGGTAACTTTCTACTTCTAGTTGATTCCCCAGAATGCTGTATTTTTTATAGAACAAATTGATGTTTACGAATTCTAGGTAATTAAATTTTGTAGCATGATGATAAACTGAACGACCAAACTACGTCGCATCAGGATTTTGTTGGAGGAAAAGGTGAGCGATACGATGTCTCGAAACCAAAAGATTCCGAACTGTTGCGTGGCGACGGCACATTCATTGGTGAAACTGACAAAAGCATTGAATTTACGGTTAAGAAAGGAGAACGATACGATATGGTCAAACAAGACGCTTCGGATGTTTGGAAGGTAAGACAAGTCGCTTCACCTGATGCTTGATAATTGGAGCGATTACTGGTTTACTATCATATTCGGGATTCTTCCCACTGGTGTAGCCGAAAATCTTGCCACTTTTTCCCCTTCATTTTATGGCCGTTTTGATCAATGCCACATCGCTTGGTAGTTAGCCTTTTTGTGATCCTAACTTTGCTTTTGTTTCCAGAACAGATTGCCGGTTAATAGTTCGGCAAGGATATAGTCATAACCATGGCCTTTCCATCACCCCTAATGCCTTGGGGGCAGTAACTCCTCCGCAACCCATTCATAATGAGAAGCAAAGGCACTCGTAAATAGCCCTAGTAGTGAGCTTTTCCGATTGCATCCACCCACTGCAAGGCTGTCATTCGCTTCGAGTTGATTGCAAGCAAGCTGATGATGGTTTTGTACCGATTGACTATCGAAGAAATCAGTGGATCGTAGAGAGGTTGGCTGTACCACTGGTGCAGTTGTGCCCTCGGCCTTCAGCATGGGAGCAATACTACTTGTCAGCATGTCATCTCGTATTACTGTTTTGCTAACTAGGTGCAAAATGCAGAATTATTTCCTAGAATGATGGCGAAATGGAAAGTGAAACTGTGTCACATCAAGATTTCGTCGGCAAAGTGGTTGAACAATTTTCGGTTGCGAAGCCTACAAATTCTGATATATTTCACGGTGACGGTTCATTCTCAAGTGAAACACATACCGGCACAGAGTTTACAGCAAAAGCGGGCGATCGGTATCAAGCAAAACGTCTTGAAGAATCCGAAATTTGGAAGGTACTGTTGTTTCAAATGATGACATCGAAAGGTTTCCAAGGGGCTCCTTTTTGTGCTGTTGTTAGCAACTGCAGAGAGATATGCAGTTCGGGATCGAAGGGCCAAGCATAGGTGTGTTCCGTGTGAGCACATGTTAGTGCCACTGGATTACCACGTCGACGGTGTGAAAAATCACTCAGACATTGGAGAATGTTTGTTTCGCCATAAAAGTTTTCCGGGAAATATACATTTTAAAAACACTTTTAAATTTTCTTCTTTAAAGCACAGTTTCAGCAAGAAGGCGAGTTAGACTATCAAACCGTTTCACACGTGGACTATCCGGCATTGAAAGGAGAACGATATGATGTAATTAGGCCTACTGATTCCAATCTGCTTCGTGGAGACGGTACATTTATCGGCGAAACTGACAAGAACATCGAATACACAGCCAAGAAGGGCGAACGTTTCGATCCTGTTCGCCCCAGAGTATCGGATGTTTGGAAGGCAAATTTTTTAAATTCCCAATAAACTAATAAACTTTCACTGAAAATTTTAAATCTTGGCTTTACTGAAAATTTCGATTTTTCTAAAAAATTGTTTTAAATTAATTTGAAAAAAGATTTGAAAAAATTATTAAGTTTGAAAAAATTACTATTTATAAAACCCAGGCTGGAACGCACCAGGCGAGCCGGTGCGATCATGCGTTTTTGCATCAAACTTTG